TGCGTTAGTGCATACGTGGAACAACAGAAACCAGAATCCTGCTAGTAGTCACCAATTAGAGTAGACTCACTGAATCAGTAAGATTTAGATAAATGTTGACTCACTATTCATTTTTCAATAGTTTTTTTTAAATTAAGTAGCTGTAGGAAGGCAAGGCTAAGGTAATGGAAGGACTGGTCTGATCTTATCCGTGAATCTCTTTTGCTACTAAGCCAAGCCTTCCTGCCTTCTTTATATATAAATGAGGATGGTGTACATTCCACTTAAAAGAGTTTTTTCTTTTTTTTTGTGCTTGGTCTCGGATTAATTGTGAAGCTTCAGTTGTAATCATGCCCTAGGCTTCTTACAATTGAAATATACATTGCGTGTAGTAACATATTGAAGAGCCAGGCTTCGGGCATTCTTATGTTATGTTTCAACAACATAAATGCCTGAGCAGATGTGAACACCTTCAGGGCTTTGAAGGTAGACCCACCGCCACAGCCTTTTGCAAATGTTTTAAGTCTTGTTGAAGAACAGTTTCTGTGAGATTACGAAAATACCTATAGAACTGAGCAGCCCCCAGCAAATGCATCTTCCATCAGATGAGGATCTTGTCTGTGGTCGGAGCATTTCAAGACAGGCCGTGAACATTGTTTAAGCTCTGTGCCCTTGGCATCGTGGCTGACTGTGTTCCTCTATGGGGTGCAGCACTCCTCCACAGGAGAGAGGACGTTGTTCCTGCCTCACTCCTTTTGTTGTGGAAGATTGCCATAAGCTCTTGGGGTTCAGATCTTTTGCATCACCTGCTTCTTGAGATGAGCCATAGGGTCCTTTCCAGCTCTGCAGTTCTAGGATGATGACGGCAAGGACAGTCATCCTTTCATTATTGTTGTTAAGCTGGAGATGGCTGTGATTGAACCCAGGGTCTTCTGCATCTACAGCAATTGCTCTACCCCTAAAGGGGGTCCCTCCCTAAAGATATCATAAAGTTTTAGGAAACAGTGAACTTGTGACTTGTCTCTACAGTCACAGTTTTAATCCATGATGGGATCATTCCATTCTTATCCTACCTTTCTTACACAATAAATTGTAGTGTACAACCTATGAACTCTACTCTCTTTCTAGCTGATGCTTAATACTCTCTCCAGTGCACAATATCAACTCTCAAAGCAAATCCAGATAATTTAAAGTATGGCATACAAACATACCCCTCTAAACCCTTAAAATGTTTCAAACAAGAACATGTGACACAAAATAGTGTTATTTATAATGTACAGTTGCAGTATTTGGGGATAAAAAGATTGATCCCTATGAAATGCAAGCCAATGTGTGCATCGATTCTAAAGAAACAGAGAAGAACTGTGGACGCTGGTCTCCAAGGTCTGAAAATACATAATGGGAGAAATAACTAGAGCATCTCATTAGGATCAGGCTGACCTGCTGTTCATTCCCTTGGTTTTGAGGAAGCATGGCCCCCAGCACTTTCAGCTTGTCAAATTCCTCACATTTTTATTTGCATGGTGTTGCATCTCATCAGACTGACAAGTTCTAACATGCAAGGCATCCTTTGTGGATGGACCCTAGTACTTCTTACCAATTGTTTGTCAAGCTAATTCAATTACTTTTCTGTTCTCTGAAAGCCCCTTAATTTAATACAGCTGCTCTTTGTCAAGTGTTCAAATAACCTATGGTCCCTCAGTCTTTAATATATTCTGAGGGGGAAAGTGTGTACTAATATGACAAGGACAGTTTCCACTCCTTCTTACATGACATGGATCTCTTCTGGTGTAGCCTGATCTTGAAACTTGATATGTGTGATTATATCACAGCAGAATAACTCGGCATCTCTCCCTTTTTTTCAATAGTCCTCCAGCATGTCTGGTCCCCCTTTTAAATTCAACCCTGGGTGTCACGTGCCATCCAGTTCATTCCAACTTTTGGCAACCCTTGTAAGACTCCTGTGGTATGTGATATATTTAAGGTATGTTTTACCATTTACACATATGCGCGCGCACACACCTTTCCAGGGTCAAGCAGAGATTCTAACCCAGTTTCTTGAGTCCCACTCTAACACTGTATCCACCACACTAGCTTTCTGATTCCATCCTACAATACTACAATATTTTCAGTCCTACAGCAGGGAGACTCTAGCAGGAAAACCCTAGAGGTTACTGCCAGCAAGCCCATTGCTACTAAAAATAAGATAATATTCAGGCAAAGTTATCTTATACCAGATTTACATTATCATTTTATTTCAAGGATGTGCCAATCTTACAACACTGGCAAAAGCAGCATTGTTAGAGCAGAACAGCCATTGTGTCTCAGCAGCCAGATGTCCCAGCAAAGCTCTTCTCTAGAGCAATGTCCAGAGTCCACGTATGGCACTAATCTGCTTTGAATTAGATTCCTCCAGTGAGCAGGGGGTTGGACCCGATGGCCTTAGAGGCCCCTTCTGACTCAATAGTTCCATGACTCCATGACAGTCAAATGTTCAACGGAGGTAGACTCAGAGATTAGTCTCCACCAGACTACCTGGATACATGTATTTCATTCTGTGCACTGAACTAAAACAAAAAAACAATATTTCTGAGGACATCAACAAACATGGAAACACTTTAGTGGACAAAAATAGGTCATACTTTTATCGGGAATTTATCTCCCCTAAAGAATTCTACTTAATTTTCAGAGTGACCACTAGTAAAAGTCTCAAAATGATATACACATTTCCCACTTACTCTGACACTCAGCTTTCAAATGTGTTTCAAATGTGGTGTACACATTATCACTTCAGACAGCTACAAGTCTAGAGGCGCCCAGTACAGTGCAAAACAAGTCACATACCAGGGAGATTTGTAAGAATGTTGTCATGTGTCATCTCCACTTGGCTATAAAGCTTCCCAAATATCTGCTAAGCTGTCCAAGAAGAAAACACCTGGGCAAAAGGAAATTTTCTCCAGAAGGTAAACGGCAGGGGTTAATAATGGGACTACCCTGCAGCCAAGAATTTGCTCCTAAATAAACACAAACATAATTATCTGCCAACTTCATTTGAAAGCATGAGTTAGATACAATGAAGTTAAAATGTCCAATTTCTTGCTTGTTATGTATTAAAGTTCCACTTTAACAGGCATTTTTTTCCACTGTCATGTTTTAGAGAAAGGGTGCTCTGCAAGTTGCATATTACATGTCGTTCTATTTTGCTCTTTTAAAATTGTGTGGTTTTTAAATTAGTCTTTACCTTGGTCTGTTTACATGAAGCTGCCCCATAGAAACTGTTTGGAAACTTCAGTTGGTACTGAATGTTGAGGCCAGACGGTTGATAGGTATGCCAGGAGTTCTTTTTGAAAACGAGACCTACTGTACACTGGAGCTTTCCAGTCAAGAATGTGTAACATGTCGTGTGGCCTCAAAATGAAACTGAGCTCCCACATCCTGCTACGCTGGGACTTCAGAGCATCCCCAAAATGTAGGAATCAAATCGCTACTAGTTTAGTAGCAATAGCAGGCTGGCTAGCTCAGGGAGTAAGGGAGCCAAAAGTAAGTTGGGAGTTTGATTCCCCACCTTGTCTCCTGTGAGCAGAGCTGGTCTGTGTGGCGTTGGGCAAGCTGCACAGTAGTCCCAGATAGCCCCCCCCCCCGAGGAAGGGAATAGTAAACCACTTCTGAGTACAGTCGTGCCTCGCATAGCGAGGTTCATCCATTCCGGATTAACCTTCGCTATAGCGAAACATCACTGAACGGGACTGGGAAAGCCATTGGAACGCATTAAACATCATTTAATGCGTTCCAAAAGGCTCCTTTACTCACCGATCAGCGAGGTTTCCTATGGCCGGCAGCCATTTTCGCGCCCTCGTTAAGCGAGGGGAGGGCGCAAAAATGCTGCGCGCGGCCATTACGGAGCTTCCGGCGGCCATTTTGTCCGCCGAACAGCTGATCGTCGGGGCTTCGTTTTGCGAAGATCGGTAAGCGAAACGCTTACCGATCTTCGTAAAGCGATTTTCGGCCATAGGGCCCATCGGTAAGCGATCGCATTAGCGATCCAATAAAACGGATCACTATGCAATTTCATTGTTATACGGTGCGCTCGTTAAGCGAGGCACCACTGTATTCTCTACCTAGAAAACCTTGAAAAGGTTTGCCATAAGTCAGAATGGATTTAACAGCACATGATGATTATTATTTAAAAACGATCCTAGTAGGCGTTTTCTCCTCCCCTACACCTAGCCACTCCTCTCTAAACTGGAACCTTACCACAAACACAGGATTAAAGCCACGCTGCTTCCCACGCTATGGTCCTGCTTCAACCCTTTCCTTACCCTCATGTATTTATGAAAAGAAACACACAAACCAGGGCAAAAGCTGTTAATGCAATGTCTAGTTTTGATCTGATATTGGGAATTTTTAAAAATCTTTACTCCATCAGCAATTAGCTGAAATTGCTTCTAAACCTCATGTGTTATGCACAAAACCTCTTTATTAGCTCCATGTAGATTTGCTAAATTTAAAAAATCTTAATGTAATACTCCCCCCCCCAAATAAAGAGATTATGGATTGGCAGCCCCCTTCACCATGCTGTGTAGAAGTTGCATAGGGTCATGTTAAACACTGATTTTATCTGTCAGGCTCCTCTCCAGGAATCAAGAAAACTGACTTAGGCTGCCTTTCATATTAGCCTGGATTATTGGGGGGGGGGACTTTCCCCCTTCAGAATATAATGAGTCTTAGCTATTTAACATGTTCAGCATGGGTGTATTTGTTCACATATTAGACTTCCACTTCTTTCACCTACAATTTTTTTCCTATGTTTTCTACAGCTAAAGAATTCAAAAGAAACAAATCAACAAGACACTGTCCCTAATAAATTGAACCACGGTGCGGAAATACTTCTGCAGGGGGAAATATGGACTCATGTTGTGTTACCATTATGCCATTATTTCCTTATCCCTAGCATCAGTGAAAGTTGTGCGAATAAAAGTATCTGGGGAGTGAACCTGGCTAACTGTTCTGGGGGGATGGAGATGCCTGTGGGGAGTGGTCTGTTTTCTTTGTTCCACTTGTTGCTGCTGCTGCTGCTTGTAGTGCTTCCCCCTCCCTGTCCCACCTCTTTTCATTGGCAGAGCGAAGGATAGTAGATGTGTAACAACCAAGGCAGCAACGTCAGGCAGAGGTCCCTTCTCCTAGATGCAGAGCTCACCCTTCCCTTCATTTTATCCACTGCCTTCATCAAGACAGAGGTAAGAATCTCTTCCCCTCCCCGTCATACTGTGTGAATGCTAAGCTGAGCATGAATTAAGACACTTTTTATGGTCTTCAGTGTTTAACAGGGCATTGGGTTTCTGTAGGCTTTTAAGGGTAATTCCTTTCACTTTGGGGTCAGAAGGTCGACTGAAACTACAAGATGAAAGACCTAGAGTCCACCTCTACTTCGAATGATTATTTTCACTGCCAGTACCTGTCCTGTGACTGGCACTTAAATCACCCTTTTGCAAGGACTGTGCTTGTCGGCTATGGCCCTAGGCAAGGAAAGTGGATCAACCCTTCCAGACACTCTTTGTAAAAGTGGATTGGTACCATCGGGCCACAAGGAGATGGCAAAGCACCCTAGAACTGTCACTGAAGGTTCAGAGGCAAGGGCGCTCCTGTTCATGTAATCCCTTTGTGGTCGTGATATGTGTTTTTGACCAGTTCTCAGAGTGAAATCTACCATTTACAATGGTGTCATTCGGGTGCTTATGGCAGAATTGGGTACTTGTTAATTTGGGCATCAAATGTTGGCCCCCGAAATCTACCATTTTCAATGGTGGCATTCGGGTGCTTGTGGCAGAATTGGGTACTTGTTGTTAATTTGGGCATCAAATGTTGGCCCCTTTTTGCAGATACTCATGCATAATAACACACCTCTTAAATCTGACCTATTGATACAAATTAATTTGCAGGTGTGGTTGGACAACCTCTTGTGTGCCCTTAGATACAACTGTACCAGCTTCAGCCAGTGTTACACTCTCAACAAGGACAGCTGCAAGCCTCTGCCCACCTGCTGCTCAGTCCCATTCTACATGTCTGTACCACACTTCTCTGGCACTAGAATGGGATATGAAATATGGAAAGAGCACAGCATGATACAGGGTTTAGAATTCTGGAGTGCTCATTCAAATCCTTGTTTACTGATGAATATTCCAGGTGGTCAACGAGAAGCCTACCTTGCAGGGTGTTTGAAAAACTGCTGTACGGATTAGGGGGTTATATCCGGTCCTGTCCTTCCAGCAGTGGAATGAACAAGGCTGGCAGCTCAGAGATCCCCTCTCCCTGCACTTCCTATGCAACCCCTAGGATTGTAAAGTGGGAGTAGGAGAGGAAGGGAAAATCCAGTTGCATGAGCAGTTTTGCTTAATAGTAGATGTAGAACACTGTTTTAGCTCATTGCTGCTGCCGCTACTACTACTTCTGCTATTATCATTACTATGCATAAAGTGCCCGGACGATATGTTGTAGAATTGCTTAGCTAAAGAGAACAAATCTCTACTTGGACCACCTATGGCAGTGATGGGGGGGAGAGAGAGAAATGAAATATATCCAATTCAGGTTGCTCTGAGCTGCTCAGAAGAGGGGAAGAATACACTTTGCCAAATAAAATATGAAATTTTATAAATGGATAGATTTCTTAGTAAATGCTACAAAATATGAGTGTATCTCCTGGTACAATATAAGTAATAACTGTTTGATCCAGTAGTTCCCAACTGTGGGTCCCCAGAAGTTCCTGGCCAGCTCAGCTAGTAGTGAAAAGGCTCCTGGAAGTTTTAGTCGAAGACCATCTGGGGACCCAAGGTTGGGAACCACTGATTTAATCTAACTGTCGAAAAAATGCTGGATTCATTGATTGCACACAATGCTATAGGAATGCTGAGTTATTGCTTGACAAGCAGTGGTTCCTAACTTTGGGTCCTCAGGTGTTCTTGGACTAAAACTCTCAGAAGCCTTTCCCACTAGCTGTGTTGGCCAAGCTTTTTGGGAGTTGTAATCCAAGAACATCTGAGGGCCCAAAGATGGGGACCACTGCTTTATAGAATAGGTGTGTACATATATCTGCTAGGAGTCTAGCTTTTTGGGAGCTGTAATCCAAGAACATCTGAGGGCCCAAAGATGGGGACCACTGCTTTATAGAATAGGTGTGTACATATATCTGCTAGGAGTCTAATACAGTACATATGGTTTGTATTTTTTTTTGTTTGTTTCTTTGCCAAGTGGAAAACCAGGACCTTAATGAATTATAATTATTTTTCCAAACAATCCTGCTACCTCTTCTGTCTTTTTGGAAATCAAAGCATGTTCTCCAGTCTATGGTGGCTTTTGCTTCTGCTGGACTACCATGTGCTTTTGGCACAGAACATCAATGAAGAAAAAAGAAATGCAATAAGAAAACAGAAGCCCAAACCTTTCTTGTCAAATGCAGTAGAAAAGTATCCCAGCTCAAACGACCAAGGTGACTATTTGTAATTTTAATACATTTAAATCTGTCACTTCTGAAATTCATTTTATTTTCTCTTCCAGGAGTTTCATTTCATTTCTTTTCATTTCATGTCCACTGTTCTTCCAATAAAAGAGTCCAGAGTGGCTTAAGTGGAGGAAAGTGGAGGAAACAAGAGTGGAAAGTGGAGGAAACAAGATATAACTTAAAAGATGTTAAGAACACAGTCCTACCTAGCCAAGATAGCAAAGGGCCAGCTGAGCTGAAGTTGGGTGTCAGCAGAAGCTGTGATGAATCCAACTCCCTTCTTGGCCTAGGAATGTAGGGAGTTACTTAGGACTACAGTCACCTTAGCCTAACTTGGCGGTAGCATCGTGCCTGTGTCCTTGGGATAAGTCAAGTCAGTTCTTACTTATGGCAACCCTTTTCAGGATTTTCCAGGTAGAGAATACTCAGAAGTGGTTGGCCGTTCAAGTGCACCATTGCCATGCCATGGACCATTAGATAAAACCTCTCATGGAACAGGTGTAGCTGACACACTAGAATGAACTGTGCCAACACACTCTAGAGCAGTGGTCCCCAACCTTGGGCCTCCAGATGCTCTTGGACTACAACTCCCAGAAGTCCTCACCACCACCTCTGCTGGCCAGGATTTCTGGGAGCAGCTGGCACACTAGAATGAACTGTTCCGACACACTCTGGAACATTGCACTCCAGGTTTTCTGTCAACATTGTTCTGGTTCCACTTGCTTCAGCCCCACCAGCTCCATAGAGAACAAGATGGTTACTTTGGCTCCAATCTGTGGGTGGGCATGCTTATGAGCAAACAGTGTCCAGTTCATCCCCCAGTTCTAGAGGTCAAGCGGTGCTTTGAAAGGGTGACATTCCAATGTGACTGGAAACTCCCCAAGAGCTATCAGAATATCACTGGGATCTATCAGCCTCCTGGGAGAGCCCTTCTTTATTCTTTCCCACAATACCACGAGAGGCTCCACAGACAATAGAAATACAGTGAATTGGTCCAGGCACAGATCAATATCACCCAAGCCAACACAGGATATTCACACGCGCACACACAATGTGAACACCTTCATACAAAATGGTCATCACTGGTAGAGAGTCTGCTTTGGATGAACTATCTTACCCCATGCTCAGTGGAATATTTGACTCCTCCTGGCCCTGAAACTACCTGGCCCTGTGCTCATTTTCTGTTTCAGAGGAATGTGTTTTCCCCGGTTATATATTGAATCAGGCAGACCAGAGAGAGAATTTTCCTTCTCCACACCCCATGTGCCAGATGGTCATACAGCAGTGCAGAGTGTCTCTGGCAGAGGCACACGGCTCCTGGCAGCCACTGACCACCACCATGGGGAATCCACAGAACATAAGTAAAAGCACATGAACATACTCTTCAGATCATTGCCAAAACAACTCTACATGTGACATCAAAACAAACTCTCTTTTAAAAAAAACTTACCATCTTTCCCAACTTCCATTTAAAAAATTCCTTTGAAGTAATGAATTCTGGACTGTGAAAAAACCTGTGTGCATTTCTCCTAGAAAATGTGATCCACTAACAAAGCCTTGAGTTATCCCTATGAGCAGCTGCTTAATTTGTGCTCTTATTTTCCCTATTTACGAGGGGTGTATTTTCTGGTATGACCCTTCGTCCTTGTTCCTATACAGTATTTGTCATTGGCTCATGCCGTAGTTCTGTAAGCACAGCAGGAGTGATATCACCAGAAGTGGCAGATTGCCACTACTTCAAGAGTTACTGCTTTAGTTTCGGTTTGTGCGTGATTTGCTTCCAGCAAGATGAAATCACACTCAACCTGAAATCAAAGCAGAAACTCTTTCTGGGTAGTTTGGGCGGCATATAAATTGAATAAATAAATAAATAAAT